GGCGGAGGGGGCAGCTCCCGTCGTTGGGCCTCCCTCTGCGCCAGGCCTGGCCTGGTCCCACCGGTACCGCAGCCGCTCGCGGAACGCCCCCGCTGTCTCGTTGAGGGAGAAGTGAGCCCCCGGCCCTCCCGCTTCCCGAGCCACGGACCAGCAACAGGCGCCTCCGCTCCTCATCCTCGAGGTAGGGCTTGGGCAAGCGCCTCAACCTCAGTCTGTGAAGCACAAAGGAATGGTGGCACAGTGTGGTCAATGTAAAACCATTTTTTAATTCTAAATCACTTTCACAACAGTGAAAATTAGTGAACAGTAATGGTAATGCACTGAACAAGCCATTATGGGCTGTGTGCAGTCTGAGTACAAGAGGGGGAAGTGGTACAATACAAAAAGCACACCAAGAAAAAGGCAGGAACAAAAGTGTTAACACTTTTAGACTATTTCATTCTTGGATTGCCCGAAAATAAGGACTCCCAGTCATGTTTCTGCAGCCACCTTCATCTAAATCCATTATTTCTCTCACCACGATGGAAAAAAAATCCCTAGCCATTAAAATAATGTATTTTAAAACATAAGTGTTAGGTTCGAGAGGTAATGAAACCGATTTAACTATTACAGTCACTTTTCTGTCCTCTTTATCAGAAAAAGGCTCTAAAGGAATAGCCTACTCCTCCCTGGATAACCTCTGCTCTTAGTATCGAGTTTCTCAATACAAAGGGGAACGAAAACCATCCTTTACTATCACATGAACGTTCCCTTTTCATCAGCAGGTGGTGCTGCCTGCTCATGAAAGGAAGTCAAAGCTGCGACACTGTGCTACAGCCAGTTGCTTGCAAGAATGCAATAAATAGCCTTTCTCCTAGAAAGGGTCCTAGTTACCAAGTTATGCACTTGAGAAGAACCATATGCAGAAGTTGTTGAACTTCTCAAAAGTGCCACAAAACAGAAGTTGAAGCACCACTTCAACTATTTGTAGTTGAGCAATATATTCTGCCAGACTATCATCGAGTCAGATATAAATTTGACTAGATGTGGCAAAAGACTGCAGCAGTTTTGCAATATTTTACTTGCCAGATGGAATTTTGGAGGTAGGCAAGTTAAACTTCAGTCATCCTCTGTCTTGATACTAAAAGTGAACACTTTATAATTACATAAATAAGCTTCTACAACAATAAAGGTGTCCTGCCCAGGAACTTCATCCATACACTAGAAAAACCCCAACTATTGAAACAAAGTTTCTATGAGCTGATTTGTGTTGTCAGTTGTCTGCCTATTGCCAGGAAAGTCACAATATTAATCTGCATGAAATCATTATGACTATCAGCAATCTGAATCAAAATAATCTAAAAACAGTAAGAGAAAAAAAATTGAATTGCCTAGTCAGAGAAATATGAAAACTGTTCATCTTGCTAGGGAATCTCTCATATCCACCGTTCTGAAGGAATCTACACAAATACATCAGGAGTACTCTTTAAAGTTATATACCCAACAGGATTCCAAAGCAGCTAGAGTGCTCACCTTCTGAAATACTTTCCCCTCAGCATGTAAATGGTTGTAGTCTCCTCTAGCACTTCAAATTAGTCTCTTTGGCAGATACTGCAGAGACTCTTGCACTACAGCCATTCTGCTGTGGCATGGAGTAGCTGTACGGAGCTGTAGAGAGAAGCTCTTCCAAATGTTCCCTACTGTGACATGTGCTAGCAAAGGCAGGATCCCACTTTTTCTCCTGTATAATTTTACAGTATGACAAGTTTAACCTCAAAACTTATGTAAAGATGCCTTTTGTTCCTCTCCCCAAACAACCTGATCTCAGATCTGTAATAGGATTTTATTTGGAGTACATGACCTTGTGTAGAAAGTCTGAAAGCCTCATGAAGAATAAATGTAGCTACAGTGAGAAGGTTGCAAGGGGATCATCCATGAGTGCAGCCCCAGGCTGCTGCGCAGAACCAAGGAAGACAACACTGTTTTGTCAGTGAGGAACTGGGCTGGGCGAGGCAGACAGGTCCATTGTACTGTTCAGCAACCCCACCCAGCTCCACAAGGAGAGAATCTTCCAGTGTCTGGCTCCAGCAAATTCAGGCTTTAAAAAAATTGCAGCATAAATTTGTATCCCTTCTTCTAACAGCCATTAGAACCGCTTCAGGAGGGGTCTTCCATCACGCCGGGAAATAACAGCCAGAAAAAAAAAAGTCTCCAAACCTGGTTCTATTTGCATCACGTGCTGTGCCCAAAGAGTCTCAGCAGTGCTGCAGATGATTTCCTGAAGAAGGTTGAGTGTTGATGTGAAGACATTAAGTAACATCCACAGCTTTGGCAGATCCGTATCGTGGTTGCCAAGCATGAGACACTGATCATACTGCAGAAGTTTCCTTACCTGCCCAGTCTACCCTGGGGCAACTGTCTTTCACATAAACTTGGTGTCACTGATTGGCACAGGATTTCAAAGCAGCACTCCTTTTAGGAGCAGAGCTCAAAGCTAGGCCATGGTTTGTGGCAGGAACCTGTTGTACAAGATAGCTGAGCTGAAATACACTTTTTAACCAATGTTTAATTTTCAACTCTGGTGCAAAACGCAAGGTTCCTCATTGTGCTGTGGTACCACCAATTCCTGAAGCCCACAGTTAGCTACGGAACCAGACACCAAGAGGTTTAAAATGGGATGGGGATGCAGTTAATAACTGTTTCGGTGGCCTTGTTGGCCATGAATGTACAGAAGAATGGAAAAGATTTATGCGATCAACAGCCAGAACATTATCACCAGAGCCACAAACAGGAAGAGGCGGGATAGGAACTGCTCATCCACATATTGAGGAGTCCCAGGAACAGCTGCAAAACAGGAAGTTAAAAAACCAGTTCAGCTCCTTCCTCTTCTCCAGAATCGTGTATATTCTGAACATAGTACATTCATAAATTGAAAGATATGCAAGGAATCTACTTGGTGAGAAACTGGTGCTATTCCTGACTCTCAGACTGGCCAGCCATACTGGAAGATCAGAAGGAAGACAAGCAGCAGCTCCCTGAAGCAGGACTCTTGGTAAACCTGCTCGTCACTAATAGCAGCAGGCAGCTCCAAGTGCTGTAGTACACACAGGTCTGCTCGGAGTACTTCTGGGGGCAGTGCTGAGCCAAGTTCACTGCTTAGCTCATGGTTTCCGTCCTAAGGAACTTCAGCACCTCTACCTTAGTGCTCCTCGCTATCAAGGTGAAACATCTCTATGTAAGGAAATGGTAAAATGGTCAAAGCTGCATATGCAGCCTTGGCCAAGAGAACTAATGAAAAGCACACAACCTCTAAAGCTCAAGCTGTGCCTTTCTGGAACTGCTGTATTGAATCCACAGATCAAAAGCAGATAAAGGAGTTGGTTAAATTATAGCTGTTACAACAACATATATTTACATACTCCTTAGCTCAGTCACACCTCCACACAAATTTTCAGGGGACATTGAAGTATAGTTAATAGGCAAGTTAATTTGACCCAAGGACAGCACAGGTCCTTGGCAGCACAGGCGTGACATGAAGAATGTGTTTCTGTTTTTCATAATTCCTATGCCATATGACATGGTGAAGATTTGCCAGGCACAATCTTTCACAGAGGAATTCCAGAAAATCCTGGGCAGTAGGTTTTCTTGTTCAAAACAGGTAGACTCCGTTTGTTTACGGTGCAGATGGGGAGGAGGTTTTCTGGGGATTACTTTATTTTTAGAGAGTAAGGCTACTACTTGGAGCAATCTAGCTGTTTTTTCTTAATTAAAAACAGTGAAATGATTTCACCAGAAAGTTACTTCTTGTGGAATACAGATGACTGTCTCGGAGAGATGCTTCTGAAAAAGGAACAATCTTTGCTGTCATTATTTTGTGGTACAGAGCACCAGTTTAAATTTTTCCTTCTCATCTTTCAGAAAATGGTTCTTGCCTGCTGTTTTCGAAAATGTGTGTCTCCTTCGTACACCCCTACTGACTCTTTTTTATTATTATTAGAAACTCTAGCCCCATTTTTCAGAGGGAGTATGCTGGAGTACCAGCGGAGACATTTGAATTAAAGGGGAGAAGTCTCCAGTGCCATTGTCCCTCTCCAGTTCTACTCAGGGGGGCCTTCAGCAGATTCTATGGGAGTGACAAAACTTGCTTCTTATATAAGCACAAAACATGCAAGCCATAGACTATATTCTCTACTGGGTGTTTTCCTTCATTTTGTGTTTCTGCTTACAAACACTGATTTACTTTACTGTTCAGAAAATTTTGTCATGTAGCAGGCTATTTGTTTAAAAGTTACAAGAGAGTTTGTAAAACATCTGCTTGTGACAGGGCTCTCAGAGAAGATCAGATGCATGGTACCTGGAGGAGGTCGCCCGTCGTTTATGTTGAATGCTGTTGCAAATATACCAAAGGGAAACGCCCCAATTCCGAATGACATTTGGAAGCCACCATCGCCAAACCCAAAGCCCTGGAACCCCTGCAGAGAACAAAGCAACAGAAGAGAAAAAAGGTACCAATCATTTTAAAGCCTATTCAGAATATTTTGTAAAAGTTCAGACATTCCCTCTCACTGGCTTTCCCATGGCTGAAGGAATATCTGCTGTCTGGCAACTTTCAGTCTGCCACATTATTGTTAAATACATCCTTAGTTCTCCTGGTTTTAAAATGTTCCACACAGTAGCAAACCTGCCAGAGCAACCCAAAAGTTTGAGAAAATGAAAGCTAGGAACCACAGTTCCTGCTTGAAGGCCACAAATTAACAAAAGCGTTTCTGTAACATTTCTCAACTTAAAATAGTATATATCTGACAATATATCAAAATCAACACTACCAATTCCATTTAGAATGTCTTAACAATGTATTAATAATTCTGTACTAATAGCTATTAGCCATATAAGAAAGGCATTGTAAAAAAATTGATTTTGCATTAATTTTCACGATACATGTGTATCATTTAAACCTTCAGTAGAGTGAAAAATTGCCAATGGGCTGCATAGAGCATTATACAGAACGAAAGTATCAAAAAAAAAAAAACTAGGGGGACTCTTAATTA